GCTCGGGGGTGCCGCTGAGCTGGCCTGGCCTGGCCTGAGCGCCGCGCCTGGCGCTCGGCTGCGGGGGGCGTTCGGGAGGCCGCGTTTACAGCAGGTTTTCACGGGGCGGTTGTGCGCTCTGCGGGGAAGGCAGCTGCCACTGAAGCAGAGCGCGTCTGCCGACAGCTCTAGCAGCTTGGCCGTGGCGTCCGCGGAAGCGCCGCTTCAGCTGGGTGCTGGCTGCCGCGCTCGGAAACGCCGCGGTTGAATTGCCCGGTTACTGCTGCCTGTAGCCAGAGGCTCTGTGTGCTGCCGCGTCGTTGGTTATCACAACGAATCTCTTCAACACCGAGCCTCTCCGTGCAACTAAAGCTTCCATTTCGTTCTGATAGCACTCTGTTTTCAGTTGAAGTAAGTGTCCCAGAAGACTTGGACTGTGGGGTGAACGGTGTGTTGGTTTGAGTCAGAGCCTTGGGAGGGTGGAGAAGCGTGTTTCTGTTTGTATGGCCAAGTGCTTCAACAGAGAGCTGCCTTTCATTACTTCAGAATTTAGTTTGGAGAACCGCTTCAGGCTGCATTGCAGTCATGTTAGCCTTCGTTTATAGAATTCTGAAGGATGCTTTTGAAAGTGAATTATGCTACTTGTTTGATCACTTTTTCTTTCAGGGTGTCTGTTAGGGTTATAACTTGTATGTCGTATGGTTGAATAAATCCACACTTGGGACAAGCAAACCACGCTGTGCTAATTTACTTCTTACTGGGGTTTATGGACTCAGTCCAGGCAGTTGATGATGTCTGAGCTGTTTGCCATCTGCGGAAGTCAGAACGGGCATTGTCTGTCAACACACTGCTCCTTGGTTGCTCAAGGCTTGGGATGAGCATACAGTCTGTATCATTAGAGCCGCTTTAGTTGTGATGATTGAGGCCTTTTGTTCTTGAAATTCTAGACAGGAGCTTTATCTTCCTTCTGGTTGAAGGCTGGGGAAAGGAGGAGTGCCTCCTGTTAGGGCAGAAATGGAAATCCTGATGAAAATGGAAAACTAATATTTTTTTGTTTTTCTTTTCTTAGTTTCCTCAAGTATTCAAGAAACTTTTAACACAGATTTTGACTTGGGTGAGGGAACTCTTACACAACTCTTATTCGTTGTGCAAATGCATTAAAAAAGAACAGGCCACATGCTTTAAATGGAAACTCTTCTGGGAGGCCTGGAAAAGCAGATGTTGAAACACGTATGGAGGTGGAGATTTGTCTTGGTACCACAGTAAGCTGGAAGCTAGTTAGGAGCTACATTTGCACCAGACCATGTTGCCCCCAGTGTGCAGCAAGTGGTAACTTCTCCCAGGGATTATAATCAATAACTTGATCAAAACGTGTAGTTTGGAATGTTGTGTACTTGTGGTGTCAGCGGCTCGCCATGTAGCTGAAACGTGAGATCTTCCTCATTGTTAGGTATTGACAGTATGCAGAGGCAGGGAAGTCTGTGGTTAAGCTGTAGCAATAGTGTTGATCCCATCTTAAATGGGTTTGGGAAGCTTTTTTTGTCGTTGTTGCTTTTGAGAACATGAACCACTTTGGTTTATTTGTTTGATGTAGGATGGATGCGACTCTGAAAGAGCTGACCAGCTTGGTGAAAGAAGTCTACCCGGAAGCACGGAAGAAGGGCACACACTTCAATTTTGCAATTGTTTTTACTGATCTCAAGAGGCCTGGATATAGGTAAATGGCAGCTTTCTCCTGCAGGTTAATAGGATTCTGGCACTGGAGCAGTATATTGTCTGTCATTGATACTGTTTTTTTCAAGTGTAGAACCCACAAATCAAATCTCTGAAGTTCTTGATAATAGATCACATGATGACCACTGTAAACTCTAGCTTTTGCTTAGTGTCTGTTGCTGTTAACGCGTTCCCAAAACACTGAACCTGTGTGCTTGGAGGCACTGTGTTGGCAGCCAGCCAGAACACGGGCCGACGGCTTGAGGTGAAGCTTTGTTTCTGGTGGTACGCGGTGTGGCAGGTCTCGTGTCTGAGAAGGCATTTGCGATTTAGCAGTGATCTTGTTGCAGGTATCCACCTTCCAGACTGTACGAGCTGACCTTTGCCAGCGCCCAGGCGCTATGTCCCGCCCTGGGGTCTTGCTGTGTGTGTGGAAGGGGGCAAGGGGTTCCCTTTCTGGTATTTAACTTCCTACGGTGGAGGGCTCCCCCATCCCTCTGCCCCCTCAGAAAGAGGATTCTGCTTAGCTTGGCTTGGTGCATCTGGTACTGGAGAGCAAAAACCCAGGGTCCTGTGTGGAGCTGAAGGCTAAATGCAGTGAAGAGGGTGGCATGGGGAGGTTGTCATGACCCGGCACGGTTTCTGTTTTGGAGATCGGAGGGGTTTGCCCCCGACTAACTTGCCTTTCCTGTGTGCAGGGTGAAGGAGATCGGCAGTACCATGTCGGGCAGGAAGGGCACAGATGATTCCATGACGTTGCAGTCTCAGAAATTCCAGATAGGAGACTACTTGGATATAGCAATTACTCCTCCGAATCGTGCGCCGCCCCCGTCGAGCCGCATGCGACCGTACTAGCTTCTCGCCTCTTCGTGTGGTTGCATCTTCTGTTTGTTCCCACTTGCTGTTCTAAAGCAGGCACACCTGAAAACACCGCGTCAGAAATTAAAGTTAACTTTTAAACCTTAATTTTAGCTTGTTTAGAAGGAACACCTATCTTTAGCAGTGCCATCCTCCTGTCCCTGAGTGTTGATCTGAACAGTGAGTGTGTCCAGTGTTTCAAGATTCCCGTTAAATCCGACCAGAAGGATTACAGGTGTTCTGTATTTCTGCCTTGTTTGGAATAAAAATTGATGTTATTCATCTTTTGATAGTGTGGTGGTGTTTGGTTTTGGGTGGGCTTTTTTGGTGGGGTTGTTTAGGATTTACTTCGTGGATTTCTGCAGAGAAATTCCAAGTCAGTGTTTAATGGCAGTTGAAATAGAAAGGAGGAGGGGCAAAGCCTTTGTCTGATGACTTCTGGGCTTGGTGAGTAGGGGTAGGTGACAGTGCTGGCTGTGGCTGGGATGGAGTTGATCTTTTCACAGTAGCTACTATGAGGCTGTGGTTTGGATTTGAGTTGAGAAGAATGTTGAGAACATACCGATGTTTTCCGCTGTTGCCAAGCAATGGTTATGTTAAGCCAAAGACACCCTGTTGCTGATACTGCACCTGTGTTCCCAGCTTCTCTACACGAAGCTGGGAGGACACAGCCAGATGACTGACCCCAGGGATGTTTCAAGCCATCAAACCTCACACTTGATATGTAAGCTGGGAGAGTGTGCTGGATTCAGTCAGGAAAGAGTTAACTCTCTTTACCATGGATGTTAGGAAGCTGTTCCTGGATGCAGAGAGCAGCACTGATAAGGTCTCAGCTGGTGCTGGGGAATGCCTGTACCAGTTTCAAGGTCTTTGCTTCTGATCCTGCAGCTGCGATCCCAGCTCTTGCGGTCTCGCTACAGAGGGTGCTGGGACACACAGTTCAGGCACCTGACCCCAACTGACCAAGGGAGTATTTCATTCCATAGTACGTCATGCTGGGGGCAGAGGCAAGGAGGGGGTCTGGTCGCCATTACTCTCTCCCTTACTCTCTCTTTCACTCCCGTACGCCTGCTAATCCTCACCCTGACTCCTGCGTTAGCTGCTTCGCTAACTCCTGTGCTGGCTCATTCCTGA